AGACACTGCTCTGTAAGATAAATAAATGTCATTATATTTGCCAAATATCACAGAATATACAATATCAAGTGACCCCTAATGTAAACAATGAACTGTGGGTGACAAGGATTGTGTGACTTTGCTGACTATTAAGAAATGTGCCGGGGGCTGGGGGTTTAGCTCAGCGACATAAGCGCCTGCCTTGGAAGCAGGCAGTCATGAGTTCGATCCCCGGTACCGATAAAAAGGAAAAAGACAAAAAAAAAAAAAAAAAAAAAAAAAAAAGAAATGTGCCATTTGGGTGTATTCTATTGATAATGAAGCTGGGTATGTATGTGTGGGGCTATGAGAAATCTCTATCTCAGTTACTCTATGAATTTAATAAAACTGTCCCAGAAAATTATTTAAATTAAAAAAATACCCTTTGGCACTAAAAAGACTACAATGGAAGAAACACTTTCTACTGTGTGCCACTCTCAAAAAGTATGGTGACAGCTGGGTGTGGCAGCACAAATACCTCTAATACCAGTACTCTGTGAACCTGAAGCAGAAGGATCTCAAATTCAAGCCTGCCCTTGGCAATTTAACAATTTAGCAAGACACTGTCCCAAATCAAAAAAAAAAAAAATTTTTTTTAAAGGCTGAGGATGCAGCTCAGTAAGAAAGCCCTGGGTTCAATTCCAATACTAGAGGGGGGAAAAAAAAGTATGGATAAAAAAAAAGAGGATAAAATTTGCCTGAGAATTTATTATTTGTTTGAGTTTCTAATAGCAGAAAAGCAACTAATGGTAATGCCAAGTGGCTAGATTATAATTCTGTGCTTGAATTTAAGACACTATGAGATACACAAATGCTCTCTATACATAATTGGTCTCAGAAAGCTAATCATAGCCTTGGAAATTTAATTTCAGGCACGGCCAAAAACACAGGCCTTTTCTCTCTGTGGCCTTTCAGGGACAGACAATAACCTCCAGCTGTAATCATCCTTAAAGCTTAAAATAATCCCAGTCTGAAAATGGGCAAGAAAACATATTATCTTCCTAGAGTGTCAACATTATCAGTATTATCAGTCAATCCATATTAGTACCCTATCTATCCCCAAAGCCCACAAAATAGGTGCACTGATTTAGCTAAAAATGAGACCATATTCTTAAGTGAAATAAATAGGGCACACACATTTAAATATCACATTGTCTGGTGTAAGAAACTAAAAGTGTACATAACGATTAAAATGTATAACAGACACTGAGAAATGGGAAGAAAATGTTCAAATGAAAAGGAGAACAAGGGAGGAGAGAGGAAGAAAGGAAGGGAGGGACAAGGAAAAAATGAAATAGTTTTTGTAAATAAAGAGAGAAAAGAAAATGAGAAAAAGCAAGATCTATCATGTATAAGTACAAATTCCCTGTGATGAAGATTGTCAATATATTTATCTAAAATGTATCAATAAAAATAATTTTTTAAATCCCACAAAATATCCAGTCATAAAAAAACAAACTATCTACAAAAATAGTACTAATATAAGCCAACAAGCCAAGTATCATAAATGTTAAACAAGCACCAGCAGCCTAATTGGAACACGCCATTCATCCATTCATTCCTGACAGCTCTACTGAACATATAGTGAAATTACCAGAGCAGTTATTTTTAAGGTGAAGTTTCAAATTTAAAACTTTTGGCCAAGTGTGGTGGTACATGACTGTAGTCTTAGCACTTGCAGGAGGATTGCTTTGAGGCCACCCTGGTCTACCTAATGAATTCAAGGCCAGTCTGAGCTACATAGCTATAACAAAGTGGCAAGACCCTTTCTCAAAAACAAACAAGAAGAAAAAAAAAAACCTCACAATTTAAAATTTTTGAAATCTAAACATTTTGAAAAACTTCAACTGATCCAAGTATTTCAGACTTCAAATTCCATTACAATGGCATCATCTTTTCATTTGCAACAGAGTATGGGCCAAATGAATAGATTGGAAAATATATATAATCTAAGCATAGTGAATCACCCCAAATTGTCTTAGCTTTTATTATCCTGGGACTTAATGATAGTAAGATGGAAGCAGGTATTGTAGGCCAAATCCAACAAATTATAGGGCTGCTGTGTTGTCAGTCTCATTCAGATTCAGTGAACCCTAAACAAAGCAGAACCAATTTGTAGAAAAAGCACTTCTAAAAACCCTCAAATGCAGGTGTTATGCTGGGTTACCACACCCAAGCAGGCCACAAGTAGTACAGTATGTGCCATTATGGTAAAGCGGAAGAAAAATATCACCTACAATGATTTCAACTAGTTAACACACTTAACAGTTTCTCATCTGATAGGATTCCACTCTGTTCAATAGACTGTGACACTGGGTGTGGTGGCACATGTCTGTAATCCCAATGCTTGGGAAGCTGAGGCAGGAGGGTTGTTGTGAGTTTGAGACCCCCTGGGCTACAAAGTGAGCTCAAGGCCAGCTTGAACTGCATATGCATAGTGAGACCATGTCTCAAAAAACACCAACAAAACAAAACAAAATCAGTGAGCTGTGATATTGGTCAATTCAGGAAGTGTTATTTCCCAGGCAAGTATTCAATAAAATAAAAGGATGGAAGTGTAAATTAGTTTATGCTGGGAATAATGTCTTGCCATGGAGAAGTTTGTTTGTTGGCTACTTGTTTTCAGAGAGGCTGACTCTCCTCCTGGTTTGCAGGCTGCACCATGTACCTGTACTGTTTCCTGTAAGCAAATGCTTCTGGTTCCAAAAAGCCACCTTGGTCTCTGCAGCAAGGGATAGACAAGGTCCATTATGGAAATAAACTCACTCCCTTCCTTCCAGTTTTTTTGAGGTATTAATGCATACATCCTATAATTTAAAGCACACAGTTCAGTGGTTTATATGCACAACATTCATCAAGTTGTGCAACCATCATCACTATAAATGTTATAAATTTTACATTTTCATCTCCCCGAAATACCTCCCCATCCTTCAGTAGTCACTCTTCATTTTCTACCAATCTCCTAGCTTGAGACAATCACTAATCTATTTTATGACCTTATAAATTTGTCCATTTTGGATATTTCATATGGAAGAATCATTAATTTGTTTTCCTATAAATAATATGATATATTTAATGTTACAAGTTTCATCCATGTTAAGATATGTTATCAATGTTTCATTTCACTTTACTGCTGAATAGTATCCTACTGCATGGATATGCCACACACGCTACATAAACAGATGTAAGCATAGTGATTAGTTGCCCACATCTGCCCGTAACTACCTATCAAAGCTGAAATGATATCATTAATTACAAAATTCCAAGTTTTCTAAAAATGTTATCAGCTACCACAGTGACATCTTGATTAATAAACACACTGAGAATTAAAGTCAAATGCATGAAAATTTTTCCCTGCAAATTATAAGGGAAAAAGGAATTTTGCAGTTCTAAGGCCTGAACACCTCAGGACATAAATGATCCTTAATTGCACTCAGTTGAAGACAAACAGCGAAAACTGCAAGTGTACAAAGCTGGTCTTTGAAACTTGCCTTTCCTCTTTCTAAGCCCTTCACATCTTCTTCCTTTGAAACAAATCTAGTTCTGTCCTATAATCTTTTTTCTACCACAAACAAAAAATAAGATCTCTTATACATGTTGAATAATTATAGCATCATTCTAAATTAAAATAGGCAGACACGTTACTTAAACAATACATTTTATTCCAAGACATTCTCCCAAAACATGAAATGAGAATTGGTTTCTTCTTGTATAAGAATTTCTGGAATGAACAAGCTAGTAAAAAAAGAGTTTTGGGTTTTTTGTTGTTGTTGTTCTTGCCATGAGACCCTTTCAAGACACAATAAAGTCCTTCCATGGCAAATCAGATTTAGTCAGTACTCTCAGGATGATATATAAGTAGGAAGAAAATGAAGAAAAAATAAACTGTTATTAATTTTGTTTGGTATGATAAAGGTGTTGTGGTTATAGCTTATATTTTAGAAATGAATAGTAAGGTATGTAAGGTGAAATGATGTGATATCCAAGATGTGCTTTCAAAGGGATATGAAAATGGGGAACAAAATACAACCTTGATAATTATTCAAGGCAGGTGATCCTTATGTGGAAGTGATTATTCGTTTCTGTTTTCTATACGTAAAAATTTCCAAAGTAATATAATTTTAAGAGATAACCAAGTTGTTCTCTCAATCAACAGTGTGCACTTTCTGTTCTTCCTTCTTTCTTGGGTTTTAGGGATTGAACCCAAGAACTATGCCCTCAACAACATCCCTAGCCTTTCTCTTAAATTTTGAGACAGAGTCTTACTAAGTTGCTAAATTGACCAGTCTGGGTGCAAACTCTCCATTCTTCAGCCCCAGTCTCCTCCCAAAATGGTCAAATTACAGGCTTTTGTCACCACACCCAATCCCTTTTTCCCTAGTAACTGGTTGTTTGTCACCACATATTTTCAGATAATATATGTAAGTCTGTTTCCCTGACTAGGCCTTAAACTTACTGAAAATCACCAAGCTGTTTGCTTATTAGTTCCCTCAGAATCCTCACTGCTTCACAATTACGGGAATGTGACAGACATCCAAAAGCTATGTATTAATTGACTGAATCAATAAAATAAGTCATAGTATGCACATAGGACAATAAATGTTCAATAATAAAAAGCAAGGGTAGAAAGCCTAAAACCTTTAATTGTGGGAATTCAATGTATTTATCTATAAGAATTTATCATTTAAGTTCACATGCTTTCGATTAAAAATGTAGAGGTGTCACAAAACAAATCTGACTCATTTAGCTTAGTTGATCATGTTATATAATCAGTTAAGAACCCTAATCTGTATGATACAGAAACCAAAAAATCAGAAAGTTAAGTAACATTTCAAGGTCATAATAAACCAGATGTACAAATGTGAACAGAACTCAGTTCTATGCTCATGCCTCATTCTGTTCCTGAAAGATACGATTTTATTCTAAAAATATATAATATTTATGTATATAATAAAAAGGAAAAGGAATACTGTATGTATTACCTCCACTTTTTGTGCCTGAGAATGTAGCTATGTAATAGTCTCAGTTGAAATAGTTTTAATTTGCTTCCAAGTTTGGTAATTTTGAGGTTGAAGCACCTGGTGGTACATGAAGTGTAAAAAGCAGTTATTAGGCAATAAGGAGTGGAAGAAGATATGACACCTGAATAATTTCAAGACCTTAAAAAAAAACTGGTTAAGCTAGAATGGTGAGGGATAACTAACAGAAAATTCACAAAGAATAAATATTAATGCTAAGATGGTGTATAGGGGCTGGGGATTTAGCTCAGCGGCATAAGCGCCTGCCTTGCAAGCAGGCAGTCGTGAGTTCGATCCCTGGTACCGATAAAAAAGAAAAAGACCAAAAAAAAAAAGATGATGTATAAAAAATGAGTCACTTGAAATTCTAACTCCTAGGTTTATATTTCTTTTTTAATCTATAATACTAACACTATGCATTTTAATGTTATAGCTTATGAAATTTTAGTCCAATAAATATTTTATATAGAAATAACCTATTAAAAATATCACTATACCCCAAATCCTTTTAAAATGGTTTAAACTATTACCTTAAGTTGGCAGTAGAAATGATGTGCAAATTTAGAAAGTCAAAAAATGTCACAAATGTTTGCCATTTACAGAAGCATGAATATTTCTAAAACTCATCTTAACTCAGCACATCTAAAAGCCCGAGTCCAGCAGTGCCAAAGAATGTGTCACATTTGTGGAACACATTTATAGCCAAAAGACTTAAAGGTCTAAAATAATGTCTAGAGAGCCAGGTAATTTTAGTAAAAACACTTTTTAAGTATCTCAAGATTCTTTCTTTGGGAATAGTCTGGAAACATTTTTCTTTGTTAAGCTCCCAGAAGGGGTTATTTACCTGGCCTGACTCTATCCTGGAATGCAACACTGTTACTCAAGGCGCTGGTGGCACTACTGTAAAGGCTCAGAACACCCTATTTTATTCCTACCCCTTAATATCATGAGTTGTCAAATCGTTTTTCCAATTTACAGTATATCACTCATTTTAGGGTAATGATTTACATGTAGGATTATCAAACAAAATATAAGATTTACATGCCCCACAACGGTCTCTTCTCAACTTTTTTCATAATTTTTAAAAGCATCAGGTGACTCAAAATAACCTACCAATACTGTTAAGCCTTTTAATGTAAGCTGTGAAGAAGTAGTGTCCTCTGAATGTTCATTAACACTGGCGACCAAAGCAAGGCATTGATTTGTAGTTGTTTTTCCATTGGAATGATGGATTTGCGCTCAGCCACTCATCGTGTCTACCAGGTCCCCCTGGTGACCAAACAGCACAAGAAGGCAAGTAGTAGGGTTCGAAGGCATAGATTGGTGGCAGAACAGAAGATAGAACGGGAAATCATGAAAAATTAACACACGAACTGTACACACGACTGGACTGAGAATTAACGCTTGTCTTGCTAGGGTACTGGAGAGCCACACACCAGCCACTGTCCCCTTTCCTTTTCAGAAGCAAATACTCATTGCCTAGCTAGAGCTTCCGATCTTTACCGCCCTTTTAAATCGCGGGTGTGACAAGCGGACCAAACCCACGGGCTCCGCACGACGCTCATGCCGTTTTTCAGGGCTCTGGGAAACACTGATGTGACAAATTGTCATAATTTTCTAAAATATAGAGGAATGACACACCACCTTTCCTACTACCGATTGAAGACCCGCGACGCAGAAAGAGCCAGCCTGGGGGTGCACCTGGGAGGGGGAAACCCGGGAAGCCCCGGCAGAAGGCGGCAGCGCATCCCGAGCTCGGGCTAGCGGGGCGCAGAGCCTGGCACGCGCAGGGTAGCGCCAGGTCAGTCGCGGGCTCTCGGAGTGCTCAGCGCGCGAGGGCAAACCTGGGGTGGGTGGGGGACGACCCGGGCTCCCGGTAGCGCTGGCCGGGGCGCGGGATCGCACTGGGGGCGCGGGCAGCGGCGTCCGGACGCCCGGGGAGGGCGCCCCGCCAGGTGCCAGACGGCAGGGGGGCGGCGGGGTCCCGGCGGACGCCAACCCCAGCGCGAGGAGCAGGCGGTCCCGCGCGGCCCGGAGCGCGCGCCCTGGGCGGGAGACGGCCGCCGCCGGCCTACCTGGAGGTAATAGGGTTTCCTCAGCCAGGCCCCCAGACAGAGACTCCTCGCCATGGTAATCACACATCGCCCCGCCGCGCCGCAGTCGGAGGCGGACCCGAGCGCAGGCGGCCCGGCTCCCCGCCTCCCGGCGCCTCCCCGCCCCCAGCTGGGCCGGGCCCGCCCACTCCCCCGCCCCCGCCGCAGCCCCGCTGCAATGACGGCGGCGGGCGGCCCGAGGCCCAGCCTCTTGCTCTGTTCGTTGAGCAGCGCTGCTGTCAGACCGACCGCCGACTCCTCCATAAAGGGAAGTCGCGCCTACTCTCCGCCGACACAAACCCAGCAGCGCCGCGCGCTTAAAGGGGAGGCGCGAAGAGGCGGGGGAGGCGCCGAGGAGCACGGGCATTGCACGCTCAGCTTGGAGCTGGGTGGGGAGGAACCCGTACCGCGTTGCGACGGGCCCTCCGCTGGCGCAGTCTTTGCCTCTTGCTCCCGCCCTGCGAGCGGCTGCGCGTCCTGCCACCCTCTGCCCGGGGCGGGAGACTGATGCTAGCTTTGGACTTTGTTCCTGGAGTCGGGACGTTGAGCTGGTTGCATCGAAATTCAAAGGAAGCTCCGGGCTTCTTCCTTGGGGACTGCCTAGCGCGCGTGGTCGCGCTGCGGCTGAAGGGAGGGGAAGGCGGTGGCTGCGGCACCTGGGGCAGTGTACTGCGAGGTCCGAGCTCCGCTCTACCGAGCTCCGGGTGGCTCCTGCCTCGCGGGACTGGGTTCTGTGCCCATCGCAGCCGCAACTTTTCTCTACCGAGCTCGGTGCGCCCCCTGTCCCCCCAATACAGTTCGCCTCTGGTCTTCAACTTTTTTGTATGTACTGCTTTACAGTTCTTTTGTGTTGTATTGCTTTTAAGACAACTTCAGCTTTTTCCTAGCCCCACCCTAGAACTCTGATTCATAAGGGGGAAAAAATATGCTGAATTGAATACATTTTTGAAGGCAGGAGACCTAGGACGTGGCATAGCTTCTTAGTTATGGGTACATAACAGGGTGTGGTGACTTTGACAGTTAGGTCCAAATAAGGAAAAAGAGCTACCCTAGTGGGAGAACTGCTGTTGATACGAGTGACTTTTGTGGCAAGAGATGCGGTTTTCACTTCATTTTACACCACATGCCATGTTTTCACATAATACCAACAAACTTTAGGTGGCCATTTAGAACTCCCTTAGGCCTGTTGCTCTGACAAGTGGTTTCCCCAGAGGTACACCTCCACTCACACGTGAGTTTTTACATAACCCTTGCTCTGGTGCTTTCAGTTTCTGCAGCCAAGGTTTTTTAACCTTGGTGTTTCAGCGTTTGCAGATTAACCCATTTTTCACTGGTTTTCATTTTGGATTAAGGGACTTCTGGTTTTACCAACTCATTCAACAAATATTTATGGAGTGTACAAACATTGTTCAAGTTGTTCTGGCTATATAAACAAAATTACCGTGTGGATATTTTGGGAGTGGGAGAGAGAAACAATAAATGTAATCAGTATAGAAAATCATATAGGGTAGGATATCTGCTAATGACAATGGGGAAATACAAAGGAGATAGAGAACAGAAAAAATTGGTTTGAGAAAAAAATCAGGAATTCAGTTTTCTAAAATACATTTGAGATATTTACTAGATATTGAAGTGGAGAGCTGGGCATGGTGGTGTAATCCCACCCCTTGAGAAGCTGAGGCAGGAGAATTCAAGCAAGTTCAACGCCAGCCTGGGCTACAGTTAAGATAGGCTGAGGCTAGTAAGACCCTGTCTCAAAAAATAGGAAACAAACCGAAAATTGAAGTGGAGATCTTGAATAGGCAGATTTATATACAAAATGGAGATAAGGACAATGGTCCAAACTAGATTATATGAGCAATAGCAGCATTTAGATAGTATTGAAAGCCATAAAAAATTGGGTAAGATCACCAAAGAAGTGAGTGTAGGTAAACAGAAAGAAACCAAAGATTAAGCCCCTTTGAATAATTTAAATTTAAGGGAGAAATGAACTAGCCAGCAGAGGACACTGAGGAGTAGCAGCTATTGAAATAGGACAACCGGCTGAGGATGTAGTACAGGGCTGGAGCCTTTGCCTAGTATGCTGAGACCCTGAGTGTAATCCCAAGAACTGCAATTCCCTGTGAAAGGGGGAGCCCTAAAATGGGACAGTAACTAGAGGTTGAAGTGGAGCCAAAAGTAGACAGAAAAAGTTGAAAAAAATTATGCTTGCCGAGTGTCATTAAAGGGCCCACTCAAGCTTATGGACATTCATTTAAGTAGAAGTCAGTGTGAATGTCGTTTTTCTTTCCAGCAATAATCAGCTCCTAGGATGCAGACATGAGTAGCTGAGGATTTCATTTAATCGAATTTAACCAACAGAATAAGAGTAAGGAGAGGGGAGCAAGACATAACCAAGAGAGTAATTACAATTCATCATAGAATTTATGGTCAAAAAAGAAGAGTGGGTATGATGAAATTCAGAACAATGAAATGTTGGCAGGATCAGTGAAAATTTGTATGGGCAGGAAGAATTGTAGCAGTAAAGGGAAAAGAATAAATGATCTGGAAAGTGGAGGTCTGATTGTTTTATTTGCTGACAGTTTTCAATCCCTATCACTCACTTCCTTTTATGTCCCACATCTGGGCAAGGTGGTAAGAAAACCCAGGTGCCTTTGGTGCAAACAGGAAGTTCCATCCCCCAACTATCATGAAACCCTAACATGGTCTCCTTTCTCTGCTCCCTTAAACTGTTTATGGGCCAGCTAGGAACGTGCAGTCCCCAGAGAGCTACATGATCTGAATAATAAACCTTTTCTCTCTGGGTGCATGTAAGTATCATCAGCCTTGGCAAAATTGACATCCCACTTTTGCACAATGGCCACAATGTCATTAGAGTGGAATGCATCAAATTGAAATCATGAAAGAGGGATAATAAAAATTAGGTTGAGGTGGCATCGAATGATGATAGAAGGGTATGGAACATAGTGTTACAGGCAGCTGAGCTAGTGAAAAATATTATAGGCAGTTGAACAGGACTAGACCCTCAAAGAAGCTGGCACAGAGGACCAGATGTCTTGCCAATTTGGAGGAAACAAATAGCTCTTGCTGTGGGCCAGATCTCAAAACAGAAGGCAAAACAAATGCAACCACACCCTTAAGTATAATCCCTTAGGATTAGATATGGATCACCAAAAGAAGCCAGGAGTCACCATCTCAGCCCCCTATAAGAAGAGTTACTGATCTGTAAAGAATGCTTGATTGCTATGTGACTCACTTCCCCATTTGTCCCTGATTTGGTCAGTTTTACCTGAACAATTTAACTTACTGGTTGACCATAATTCTGTCCCACCTCATGCCCATCTGCCTTTCAAGTTCCCAGTTTTCTCCACTTAGACCTTCTTCTCATGATTTTACTCTATAAAAATCCCTAGAAAATAGGGAATCTTTGCAATCCACTCAGGACCCCTTCTGTCTGTTTCTCCAACAGAAGCTTTCTTTTTCTCAATAAATATTTCTGTCCCTAACCTCTGTTATTCCTAAAATTCAATCTTTGATTTTAGAGAACAGAACTTGTACCAGACATATGGTAAGTGAGGAGCTTCATTCCCCTATATCATTAGGACCACTGGAAGAGAGTCAAGGTCAGGATTATAAATTTATATATTAAAAGCAGAACTTAGGACAAGATGAGTGCTTCGAAAGATGTCAGTAGCAAAACTCGCTGAGAAATAAGACATAGTGATCTCTGTGCATGAGCAGGTGGCTACAACAATAAGGCAAGTGAGTAATAACTTTAGATAACACAAGTTGAAAAAGAAGTATCAGGCAGGGGAGGAAGTGGGGAGGAACAGCCTGGTGGAGAAGCAATGAAAAACAAGGAGAAGCCTTCTCCCACCCCCAAATCTAAGGATATGAAGCTTTCTGGGAAGCCTGAAGGGACATCAGCATCCACAGAGTTGGGTCAGGTTGACTTTAGAATAAGAAGATAAAGGAAATATTCAGAGACAAAACTGCCTGATCATATACTGAGGGTGCGGCGGACAACTCTCAGGAGGGGATGTTGAGGGAAGGCTTCCCAATAGATGATGTGAAGAACTTTGAGTGATTCAGCAGGTGGGAGATGACCAGTGGCCTGGGAGTCAGGGATTTCTCATAGTAATGGATGTAAGTTAAAATAACAAGATCAAAGATCCAGCCAAATGAGAAGAATGGTTATTCAGTTTACATTTAGAATCAATCAAGACTAAACATAGGGCTGGGGATGTAACTCAGTAATGGAATGAAGAAGATAGGCAGACAACTGATGGCAAAAAAAAAAAGAGTATAACAGAAATGAGGCAGAGAATGTTGGTTATAATCTCTAATATAGATGGCCTTCATACACTAAATTAAAAGAAAAAAAGAACCACACATGGAGTAGATCAGGAGGCACTGCAGGGCCCATGCGGGGCACCTTGTACCTAGATGGGTATAATGAGCCCTGTGTCACCTGAGTTGCACTTCAACTTTAAATCCAGGTACCTGAATGGGTTCTGAGCAAGATCCAACTAGGTTGGCCTGTGGCAGATTTGAATGGGACATTTTCTGCGCCTGGTTTTTCTGTCCTTTTCTGTCCTCTGTACTAGCTTTGCCATTCTTCATGGCACATACTAGACCTACTTTACATCTAAATTTACCTGTTCCTGTGCCCATTCTTTTTTTATTGTTGTTTGTTTTTTGGTACAGGGATTGAACTCACGACCTCACGCTTGCCAGGCAGATGCTTATGTCACTGAGTTAAATCCCTGGCCCCCTGTGTCCATTCTTATGAAGAATAAAAGTTTCTGTTTTTCTAAGTAAAGCTAGTTAATCCCAACCTAATTCATATGGTTCTTTTCAGAGGTGCTAATTTGTGATATCTTGGTCATCATGTGTAATGTTACTTTGGCTTCACAAATAGGAAAGCATCCATTGGTTTTGAATACAGGAAAGTCAAGATTAGTGATCTTTACCCTTATCTCTTACCATGCACTAAAATAAAATGAAAATAGATCGGACCTAGATAATAAAACCAAAAGTCTTCTGAAAGATAAAGTTAGGTAAAACTCTTGAAGACATAGGCATAGGCAAGGATTTTCTGAACAGAACCTCAGTTGCAC